GGTTCATGGATGGGAGAGAAAGGACTAACATGACTTACAAATGGGTTCGACTGTATCACTTTCAAAAGACAACTTATTTTAGAATGAGTGATGACTGACTGAAGTTGGGTGAAGTATTGCGGTATTGCAGTATATTTCTCCATGAAGCTGAGAAAGACAAACACACCAGGCGAGGAAATACAGTTTTAGTATTACAGTTTTGTTCACCATGATAAACATGTTTGTGTTGCGGTTCCGTCAGGCGGCTGCAGGTGTAGTGACTGTTCCCGTTGGCTGAAGGATATATAGTGTCTCTTTGTAAAGCTTTTGCTCTATTGTTTGAAAGATAATTAGCACGTGTGTTGACTAATTTTGATGTCATTGTTTTGTAAATATGAGTTTTATTTTTTTTTTGGGGGGGGGGGGGTATGTAATTATTGGATGGGTTTCCACACTCATTAGCCATGGGTAAATGTTATAACCTTCGAGAAACTCCTTTGCCTAAACAACATTAAAGTGTTTCTATAATTACATCCTCTTCAGTGTAATTAATTGAGTCATCTGTATTAACTTTTATTTATAAGAAGAATTATAGATCATTATAAAAGTATAGAACAAAGTATAATGAACATAAAAGACGTACAAAAGTATATATAGTCAATGATAGAAATAATGAAAATAATACGAGTATAATCAAGGTATAATTATTATGTAAAATTCTATAATATCACATAAAAGAGACAGAAGTTATAGAGACACTTGGGCCAGTATGAATACAATCCCCTCCAGGGTCTTTATCACTACTAAACCCTGAACCAAGTATGTAAAATAAATACAGTTCATATATACGTAAAGTCAGGCCACTAAAACAGATTCACTGTATCATCTACCTTTGGCCTAGTACACAGCTTCAGCATGGCGCCCAAAACTCACAGGTAAAACAGAGTAAAACAAATAACAAAAGTCTAGAAACGGCCTTGTAATATTGTTGTTCTAGGAAGGGTTTATGATTTATCAATATTCCTCTAAAACAGTAATTCTACCTAGCACCAATCACGAATATTTACCGTCACGCATAACATATACTGATGCATGAACCACACGCCACACACAACTGCTGGTCTCGAGGAAAGATTCAGCATTCGACTCAACTGATCCTGAACTGAAGCGAGTATAGGTTTATAGGCTCATTAACTCACCTTATGCTTATATTCAGTGATGTGTTGTGTTAATTGCTCAGGGGTTTCATAACACACACACACACACATACTACTACTACTACTACTACTACTTTGCTGTCACTCGGAATCGAGTATGACGTTCATCCAGCTATGATACAATGATATGAGTTTTTAGGGATGTCACCTTCATTGGTGAGTTTTGAGGTGTCGTAGCATCATGGGGACACCACGTAGTCTGTTGTCACAGGACCTCACTCACTCAAATGAGTGAGGTGTGGTCCCAGGCCTCCCCATCGTGGAGTCTCAGGGGAATTATCACTGGGTACCTGGGACCTCACTGTGTGAAGGTTAGCTTGGGTAAGACTCAACTGTTACTGCCGAGTTGTTTTTCACTGACTTAAGCACTGTTCACCACTATTCAACACTGGTTCCATTCCTTTCCCAAAAGAAATAGTATCTTCTGGCGAGAACTTGTTGATATTCCGGTGGGAAGGAGGGTTCAGGGGTGGGAGTTGGTATGGGCCAACATAATAGTTGACGTGGCTGCTGCTAGAGCAGCGCCAGGTACGTCTTGACCCGTCGGTGAGGCAGGAGCGCAGGCTGCAACCTCACATCTTGGCCAGTGGTGCAAGTGTTGCAACGACTGGGGAGAGGGAGAGTTGTAATGGGCTGCCGATAACCCAGTTTGTAGGGTTTCGCCTTAGTAGCCTCTCCATCCGCCGGTGTAGTTCTTGGGTTCCCATGGTGGTCACCTCTTCTGCCTATACCTCCGTTGGGGTCTTGTTGGAGCTCTGTAAGCATGTCTGCCTGATGCGGGGCTCCACTGCAGATTTTTCGTTCGGGGTTTACTCCCGTAGCCTTATACCTGCCAAGGTTAATCCGCAAGGCAGCGGGGCAATGGCTGGTAGGCGCCAGGACGTGTCCACATGCCAGTGGGCCTATGCGCCGTCCCTCTTGGGCCTTCTGCTACTCCGAGATTCCCTGCTGGTCTAGCGTGGTGCCCACGAGGTACCCAGTTACCGTTTGTTGTCATGAGGAGGCACAGGAGGAGTTTTGATGGTGATGAAGCTGTGTACTGGTAGAGGAAGACTTATACAAGTTGCTTCCTTGTTCGCCACGAGGGCTGGCGAGCGGAGGTAGCAGAAAGCGAGAGGGATCAAGCAATGCCTGCACCTTAACACAATCATAATGCTGTCACACTAAACGCATTACACTACCCTGTGCGCGCACCCACGCACACACAGGGTTCCTTCCCATCTTCATTAATTTAAGCTTCGTTGTTACTAAACCTGATTCTTAACTTCTGTGATTAAATTAGTCGCTTGTTTGATAACTTTAAAGATTTGTTTAGGGTGATTTTGGGAGTTCGAATTTACGGGTTGAGAGGTCGTTAATGTGTGTGTGTGTGTGTGTGTGTGTGTGTGTGTGTGTGTGTTTGTATACAGTAGTTCGTGTTACCATAGTCTCCAACTCGGAACAACAAATAAACTGAGATAAAATACAAACGAACAGCCGATCAGACAAACAAACAAACAGACAGTTTGATCGGTAGACAGACCAAATATACAGAACGTAAGAGCATCCACACACACACACACACACACACACACACACACACACACACACACACACACACACACACACACACACACACACACACACACACACACACACACACACACACACACACACACACACACACACACACACACACATGTAATAAATCAGTGTATCTACTCCCAGTAAACACTGCTCCCTACACTGTCACTATGTTGAAATGAACTGTAGTTTGAGCTGATCCCCATCTAAGTTACTATATGTCTTATTTGTGTCACTTATGTCACTTGTATATTATTTGTAATTCGTAACCCATTCCCAAATATGTAACTGTATATTTTCAGCCTTCTGGCTGCCAAGCTCTTTCAATAAACCGTTAATTATTATTATTATTATTATTATTACACACACACACACACACACACACACACACACACACACACACACACACACACAGAGGATGATCTCACCACCACTTAGACGTGTAACCAAATCGATCCTTTTGTATACACTGTCTATATTTAACCCTGACCTGCTGATAGAGAGACAGACAGACGGACAGACAGACAGACAGACAGACAGACAGATATTTTTTTTTACTTCGACTCATTTATTATTCAAGAAGGAACCGTGGCAGCTCTTACCGCCTAAGTTTCCACAAGAGATATATTCAAATGTCGTCCTTCATATCAAATTTCACGGTAAAATACTGAAGGTCCAAGTTTAGAGAATTTTGACGTATATATTACCGAGTTGAGGCCGAAGTTCTGACGGTGTCTAGAGGTGGAGTGTGAGGGGCAGGTGAGGGGGTCGGCCTTACCTGTAGTGTGTGTGTGTGTGTGTGTGTGTGTGTGTGTGTGTGTGTGTGTGTGTGTTTCATGACCTTCAGTAAAAATATGAAACATCAGCATTTTCCCAACTTTCTCGAGCAGTTTGTCACCCAACGTTCATTCTTGCAGCAACAATAACATTCCTTAAAAAAATATAGTCAACTTTACTCCATTAAAATCCCCGAATTCTGAAGGCTGGGAGAACACGTTATGGCTTATTCAAATGATCCCAAATATAAAGCAAAGGCCTAATTCAGTTAACAATGCAGTGAGGGTCGTTTGATGTGGGAGATAAAAGAGAGAGTGAGATGAATTAAGACCTGTAATACGTAGATAAGGAATGGTGATCAGAATTCCAGTTATTTTCATTTAGTTGATCAAAATCCCGTAGGAGAAAATAGTTGACGTGCTTTAGGTATTAATAATGAAGATGGTGGAATAATTATATCAAGTTGTGAGGATAAATTAGTGTTCTCTGAGGTGTTGGTTATACATGAAGTGAATGTTTAATTAGGGAACGTAATGGGGAAGGTTGTCCAGGTGTATATTATACTACCTGTTGGATTATTAACTTTACTGGTTTGTGATTTACATGTTATCTTATATGATGTTTTACTAGACGATATAAAATAGTAATTCTAATAGCAGTAATAGTAGTAATAATATATTGATAAAAAACAACAATTATACTGTATTATATTTTCACTTCCACGAGAAAAACACCTCCGTATATCTAATGTTTACAGATGAGGAGAGTCCACCACAACCCTACCAAAACAAACGCAGTCAAAAAAAAACCAGTCTGGAGCGACCTGTTTATGGGGGGGGGGGTGGTTGCCATGATAAGGATTTGATTACCATTTGAGAGACAGGAAGGCAGAGGAGTACTAGAGGTGGTTTTGGTGGTGTATGGTTGACTCTGTGTGATCTTGGCGTGAAGTGGTGGGAATCTACGTAGGGAAAGATTTCGTAGAGTATTAAACAGTTTAGAGAAAAGAGAATATTTTAATGGGTTATTGGACTGTTTTTGTCTAACCTAACCTAACCTAACCTAACCTAACCTACCGTGTTTAGGGAGAGACTTGAGTCACCTGAAGAAAGAGGAGGAACTTCTACCTCTAAGGGAGTAAAAAAAAAAAATCTGCTTGGGTGAAGATTTTTCTCCTTTTCATTGGGAATATAGCTGACGTCAGTGAACACCAGGTCAGAGAAATAGGTCAAACGGGAGGAGATTTCTCAGAACCCGCAGTTCGTGACAGGCGACCCTCATCTTCCGCCTGCAGTGTGTGTGTGTGTGTGTGTGTGTGTGTGTTGTCGTGCACCGCCAGTCACCACCCCGCAGTGTTTTACTTGAGAGTGAATTAAAAGTAAGTCGATAATACAAGTTGTGTTTGTCTGCCATGTGATTCTTGACCTGATGTCTCGTGAGATTTTTTATTTTATTTTAACCTCATCAAAATTGGAAGCCATTGGTTGATCTGAGAGTCTTGTTACGTGATCTCAGAGCCTTGTTTCGTGATCTCAGAGCCTTGTTACGTGATCTCAGAGCCTTGTTACTTGATCTCAGAGTTTTGTTACGTGATCTCAGAGCCTTGTTACGTGATCTCAGAGCCTTGTTACTTGACCTCAGAGCCTTGTTACTTGATCTCAGAGCCTTGTTACTTGATCTCAGAGCCTTGTTACGTGATCTCAGAATCTTGTTACGTGATCTCAGAATCTTGTTACGTGATCTCACCCTAGAACCGCCTACACTGACCTAGAATACTGATAACGAAGGATTACAAATGACTCTTAAACTGTCGTCTCAGATGATTCAGTTTCCCGATAAATTGGCGAAATCTGTTCCCTTATCTATTGTGTGAGCTTCCCCGGGTTATAGAAATTCGAGTCCAGTGTATTATTTCATTTTCTGGTTCAGGGCGGCCGTGGTGGTGCCTGCCGGGGAGGTCTCGTGGGGCCTAGAGAAAAAACAACAATCATTTTTATGTATATGGTCTAGTGGCGGATTGTTTGGCGAGATTAAACTACAAACACACACACACACACACACACACACACACACACACACACACACACACACACACACACACACACACACACACACATTATTCCCACGATGCATAAATTCCTCATTGAAATTCACCACAATTATGTTTTGAGTTTGCATGTCCAGCAGTCGAGCGCCATCACGTCAGGTCCGAGGCATCACAAAACTACCCTCAAACCTGTACAATATTATCACTTATATAACATTAACATTGTTTTCTTCCCGGTCAGTATATTGATCAAATTTCTTAGCTGCGAAATAACACGAGAATCAAGAGTTCGTTTATGCATTTAGACACGAGAAAATTTTATCTTCCATCGAGGAGTTAAATTAGAAAACAAAACATGGAGATAACTCAAGTTTGTGTCCAATTTCCAGGTAGAATTTGTCTCAGGTAATAATTCAGATTTTTACTTTCTGAGATTTGAGTTCCTACCTAGGTAAAAAAAAACGTATATAATTGTTTATTTACATGAACTAATACACACTATACACCTGTGTTGTCTCTTGTCGAGCACTGAATGGAAGCAGAATCCTGTTAACAAGACCAGATAGAAAAATGGAAGCTGCCATATTGACCTGTCGGTGGTACTCACAGCTGGGGGGGGAGGTGACCACTCTGTCCTACACCTCCTCCCTGTGTCCGCTCGGCAGCTGTAGGACTCTTTATCCACTTTATTTGTGTAGTCAGAATGAGTCCTTCAGTGTTCAGGATATTTTATTACACTAAAGTTCTATTCTTTGTGGACTGATCAAGGCTTCAGAGTGTAGCTAGTACAGTAATATTTTCGGCAATAATTTATGAACTTTTTACTGAATTATCTGAAAAAAATGTGTTGATAATTTTACTATATTAAAGAATGTTATCGGTGTTGTCCCAGAGTTTAATATGAATATGTAACACACTTCTGTTAACTTGAAAGGAGGTCAAGTTAGTGTGACCTTGACCCCAGGGCTTAATTAAGAAGATCAATGCCTCCACTTATGTTGACCTTTCATAACACTCCTGGCCCTATTGTTGACCTTCTCAGGGTTATTAGGGATCTATAGCAACACACACACACACACACACACACACACACACACACACACACACACTTTATTCTACACTATATTAGTTTCAGGAAATATTTCAAAGTAGCAAAAAAAATAGAGTTGTTTTTATCAGTTGGTTGTCGTCTCTAATGAAATATTCCCTCTCCTTTGAAACAAAATTGAAACGTTCATTGCTCGTCAGTCTTGTAATGAGAAGAGGAAATTGCCATAAACTTGGTGTAGTTGTTAACAGGAGATTTAATCATTGACTCTGGACCCCAAAAAATAATTATTATATGGTCAGGTTTTGTACATCACGAGATTTACGTCTGTTTGTTTGTCATCTCAGCAAAATAATACAAATGCTTTTTAACGTTTAATTACATTGATTTATTACAATTAAAGAAAAATATATATATATGGGTTACGTTACCTGCACTACTGGGACGCCAATTTTAACATGATGATGATGATTATTATTATTATTAGCTCTAACACTAAGTACCCTTCAAAACAAAAAGCTAATTCAATATCTAATTCCCCTGTATGGATTATATATTAAAATTCTTATGGCTTAATTAATTATCGCCAAAAAAAAATAATAAAAAATCAGATTTGGCTGCTCAATTAACTTTTACTTAACTCTTGCCCTGATAAACGTCCGCTGGAAATGAACTGAAAATTCTAAATCACTCAAACTTTCCAGTAATAATTACCTGGGAGACTTGCTGGGCATCACAGGTATGTTAATTACTGTCAATTAGGGTTCACAGTTTTTGACGCAGTTAAGTGATAGTTTTGGTTTAGTTTTAATGTGATATAAATAAGTTGCTTATGGTATCGATTTGTATAACTGGATCCTTTAAACTCTGAATGTATATAGTAATTTATATATATATCCTTTTGTTTTTATCTTTAATAAAATCTAAACTTCCATATATTACAAGCGTGATCAATTGTATCTGTGTTAATATATCAAAACCCTCAAGGAAAATGACTTGAAATTAACAAGAAAAAATGTGATACTTCGGTTATATAGGAATGAAGGGATGATGACAAAAGCATTACTGGACAAAGTTGAGGGTAGGAGGGCCAGGGGAAGGTAGAGGCTGGGATGGATGGGTGAAATTAAAAAAAAATGAGTCCCCAGAGAGATACAAAAATTTGGAGGATTGGTAAACACAGCCAGAGAATATTTAGAGTGGAGGACTGTGGTCGCCAACCCTCAGATATGTGGACGGTACTCTGAGTGGATGAAGCGTTTGGTTGATCAGAGTGTAATCAGACAAAGTTACATAGGTTTTATTTTTCCAAACTCATTTTCTCGTCCCTCCCACACTCACCGCAACACACCTCTCACCCTCACACACCTCCCACGTCACCACCAAGGCACACATATCCTTGGTGTGGACAGGTTTCCTCCCGCAGCTGTGGTCACTGGTCGGCTGGGCACTAACTCAGGCTCACAAACACCTCCTGTGATCTTCCCTCCGCTCTTCCTTCTCGAGAGAGAGGGTGATAAACCTAAAGTGTAAATATCATCACTTACATCTGACGTCATTTCTTCATTTTGTTGTTTGTTTTTGTACAGGGTGGGGTGGGAGGCTGGGAATTGGGGTGGGAGGAGGCAAGGAGGTGAGGTGAGGTGGAGAATCAAGATGAGGTCAGGAGAGATCAGGAGTGTATCATATTCCCGTGAACCTGAAGTGAATTAATTTACTTGTTGAATGAGATATTTGTGTAATAATTAATGACACTGATTCGTTCTTTACCCCTAGAAAGTGATTAAAAATTTACTCACAGCCGAGAGAACTGTCAATTTTAAGCCTCACATAGGGTAATTAACTCTCTTAAGTCCCCAGTAATAGTGTGGTCCCCGTTTAACAAGCAGAGGTGAGGGGCAAACATTGTCTTGGGAAATAATCAGGAATTTAACTACTGTTGTGGGGAAGTTATTAGGAAAAATACCTCTTTTTCCTCGTGTGTTGTATAGATCTAATAAGATTGGGTTAAAACGATCATTGATAATGGTTACATTCTTTAAACCCAGACCACAAATATCTCTCTCTCTCTCTCTCTCTCTCTCTCTCATATGTTTTGCAATAGATATAATATACTATCTTTACTCTGTAAATTGACACACTCAGTGTATTATTGGCTCAAAATAACTCATAGGTCTATGGAAAAAATAAGTCCCATATATATGCCTATGGAAGAGTGTGTGTGTGTGTATGTGTGTGTGTGTGTGTGTGTGTGTGTGTGTGTGTGTGTGTGTGTGTGTGTGTGTGTGTCCATTGAGTGGACAAACTTTTTCAAAAGGTCATGTGATCTTGTCTGGCTTGTTGCCGAGTGCTGGAGAGAGAGAGAGACACACACACACACACACACACACACACACACACACACACACATACACACACACAGCAGTAGGTGGTGTGAGGGGGGGTTCGGCCGGGCAGAGATAACAAGCACATCACTCTGAGGAACTTGCCTTGTTGCGCGCCGTCACCCAACTTGATAACACTTTAATTTCCTTCTCCTACTGTTTCTATCTTTCTATATTTCTGTTCCTATGTATTTCTATATTTATCCCTTTCATCATCATCACTATTCCCTTCTTTTTATTTTTACTATTTCTATATATTTCCCTTTCTGCATCTCTACTATTTCTCTCTCTCTACTTACATCTTTATCTCATTTTATATCTATTCCCGTGATTCTCCTTGGTGTATGCGTAGACGTAGGGTGAATAACAGTACTAACGCAACAATATATCTATTTGGTAACATTTCTACATTACATCATTGTTATTATCAGATTTAAAACAAAATAAAACACTAGGGAATTAATATTAAACTCTCTCTATGACACGGAGTTAATTAAAACATTGAATATATATCTTTAAGCTCCTTGAGAAAAACATTACTCAATATTACTAACATTAACTGATGTTTTGTAAAAGATTTATGTTGGAATGCATGTATAAATTACGGTGATCATTATCCACATTTCGCTCACACTTCAGTTAGTTTTTGTTCTTTGTCGTCTGAAGTTTGACCATTAGGGAGGCACTCAGATATTGACTTAATACACTTATGTAATATTTTAAGGCACTTTATAAGCTCCTGCTGTCGTGGTGTAGTCTGTAAAGATGTTGAGAAGAAAAAGAATATAAAGTTATATCGTGATTATGAAAGTTGTTTACATATAAGGTAATATACTTATTTTATACAAGAGAACAAAAATATTTCCAACGTGATTTTTGTTAAAGTCCACAATAATAAATAGAAATAAAATGAAAATGAACACCATGAAAACTGGGCCAGGCAGCCGTTAGCAAGGCAGGGGTAAGAATGATGGTGTTTTGTATATTACTATAGTTATCGCTAAGAACTGTCTCATGTTATCGTTTTCTACCATCAGTAACTTACAGAGACAGTCCTCCTACACTACAACCGGGTTTTAACTACATTCACCTCTAACCTAACCTAACCTAACCTAACCTAAACTAACCTAACCTAACCCTTTGTTTTATCATTGCCCGAACTGTAAATATGGCAACATGTTCATTAAACCTACCAGAAGTTTATTGTTAAAAATGCGAATCCGTTCTCCTGTTATTAGGGAAAAGACAGACAGACAGACAGACAGACAGACAGACAGACAGACAGACA